TATATATATACCCACGGATAGGTCTGTATATTTCCACTTATATTTTAAGTAGTGATACCACAAGTTTACGAACTCCGATGTTACTTGACGCAATCTTGCATGACATCATGCAGGGGAGCAGAGAGGGGCCACAGGGGCCCCGTTCCCCCTCCTGTCAATCCCGCCGAAAAATAAAAAAAAAGTTAAAGAGAGGAAAGGAAAAAAATGAAGATAAAATCTGAATAAGTCTGAATGAGTGACATTTCCGGGCATCTAGAGATGCCATAATCATAATTTGCTTTGCGACTCTCAGTATAAAATAGACTATTGGTCCATAATTAGTCATTTGCGATGCCCGTGAGGGAAGGAGTGTCTAAGCTTAGGAAGGTTAGCAGATCTCCCGTCGGGAAAAGTTAATAATTTCTGGATCCGCCTATTTCATGAATGATAAATTAAGTAAATCACCCTGCATGTTTATGAAATAAAAATGCTAAATGCTGTGTGTGCTTCCTATCTCCTAATAGTCCTGTTTGATCTTAAGTTAGACATTAGTATTTCCACTCACAATTAGTGTAGTCGCAATACTACTCGCACAAAACAGAAATTCAGAAAGAGGAGAAAAGGAAAAAACCTCTTGATTGATTTTAAAAGTACTGTACATGAAAAGATAGAATTGGAGTGACTGTTTTAATATGTTTTTCATGGTTCGAATACGTCACAAGCTAATCAGTAGATAATAAATCACTATTTTTATGAATGTTAGTTTGCACGAAATATGTAAGCAGGCACGATTAGGCTATGATTACCAGGAGAAATTGAAAATAAAAAATTATGATGGGTATTTCAGTGACAGATACAAGGGGGACCGGCCGGCCCACCCCCCCCCCACCCCCAAGGGGAGAAAAAAGAAAATTATATTCAAATTTAAGTCTGAAAGTGCTCACTGAGCCCCCTCTTGGAATTCCTGGACCCGCCACTGTATTGAAAATGTAGTGTGGAAATAAATTTTAATTGCATTCCTTAAGATTAATCAGATACGACTTATAAATGGCTATAGACGCCAGAGCTTCCGGGGGCCTCGCCCCCTGGACCCCCACCGGGGCCCTCGACAGCCCCCCTGGTACCCGGCCAAGTCTTGGGCCTACGCCCCAAGACTTCCTTATTTTGAAATTCGTCCGCCCCACTTTTCACAACGGACAATTTAGGAGTTTCAAGAGCTTATTTAAACGATTTAGAGTCTACTAATAGGCCTATGTAAAACAAACCCTGTATAATATGTTCTTTTCTCTCCAAACGAATTTTTTCTCCGGACGGGACCGCGGCCCCATCGACTCCCAACTGTTGCCAACTCTAGGGGTGGTAAGAAGGAACGTGGAGTGCAAGTCGACTGGGCCATCACATTTGAAGCTCCGATAATTTAGGTATTTTAAAGGCTTATTAATCGATAGAGTATCATAGTCTGGTTTTTTTCTTCCGGACAAATTGCTTGAATTTCCAGACAGTTGGAGTAAGGGAAGAACTTCCCGATAGGAGGACCCTGGCCCGGCCCCCATAGGCTTCCCACTGTTTATAAGGCCTATATAGTGGTTTTAATCATATCGTAAAGCATGCTAATTTATTCTTCATTTTTCGCTTGGATTATAGTAGTACCATTCTCAGTTGGTGACAATTATTTATATAATTTTAGTTACTTTTTACAGTGCCTTTTTTTTAGAAAGAGGCATTGTGCCATATGATTCGAATCCAGCCGTTGCCCTATATACAGATGAGGCCAAGCTGGTATTGTATACTTCTTTTGATTTCTCCAGTAGGACAGGTTTTTTTTATCACATCTTTTATAGTATCCAATTAATTGATTAAAACCCATTAATAGTATACAAATTAATACATCATGCAAACTGCAAGCTATTTGTGAATTAGAAAATAAAACTTAACTAATGCATTATGGTAATGTTGTTAGCAACATAGCGAGTATAAGGTAACAATTTTATTTATTAAGCTTGAGATGAATAGACAAATTAAGAATAATATATAGTTATACATATATATATTCATTTATGTTTGTAAGCATCGAAGGCAAGACACACATCTAACTATTGGACGTCAATGGAACATCACTATTACATTCGAAAATAATTAAAGCAGCTGGATAAGTGAAGATTTTTGTATATTCAAATGTTGAATAGTACAAGAAAACAGGCACTATGCACACATAGGTAAGATATTGAATGGTTTTGATGATGACGATGATGATGATTATGACGATTTTCATGGTAATGATTATCACGATAATGATGTTTATGATGATGATCGCAATGAGGATGATGATGATCAAGAAAGAATCTTAATGATGATAGTCATAATTACGGTGATGATCCATAATGGTAATGATGATGTTGCTGGTGGGTTTATTGATATTGCTGTTGATAATAAGCTCTATACATCCTTACCTGTAGAGGTAGATATGTTTGATCGTGAGAAACCAGGAAGGGTGTAGGAATAAACTTGTGTTGTTGCATGGTTAGCTCACTAATGACTGAGTATGCTACTTTTGGCCAAATTTCGCTGTTGTTGATTAACGCTTCATCCTCAACTGGAATAATAGGTGGGTGTGGCAATTCGATATTTCTTCTCGGTTTTGCATCACTTTGTTCCATCGAACATGTTTCCATTGAATGAAGAATCGTAGATTCTGAGCTCATCAATGATGAGCAACTTAATGTATTGGATATGTTTTTATCTTCAGAAATGTTGTCCTCTACCAATTTTATCTTGTTTTCCTTGTTAATGGCTGATGCCGGCAGAGTACCCAATCTGTTTTCATATGATGAGTTATATGTGTTCTCTTGACTTTCTTCAGCACATAACAGCAGAGATTTCGTACTCGTTTTCTTTTTAATAATCGGTTTAGGATTTTCTTCATGCTCCCATAGTTTCGGAAAGGTTGAAATATTTGCAGACGTATGCCGTTTCCTTAAAATACTCTCAGATGGTTTACATTTAGTTGCATTCCCTGTTCTCCTGGTCTGCTCACTACTCCTGCTGGCACGCACAGCCTCTAGTGGTGAAAGAATAATTCGTTTTGTATCTTTTTCTGCCTCAGAGTGGCCCGTTCTTGTTTCCAGAGCTGTTTGTTTGCGGCAGCATCTACCGGTACCGATTACGGGACTATCATGAAAATCTTTAGCGTTCTTCATACAATCCCCTGAAGTGGTTTCACAACCAGATTTTGGAGTATCTGGAACTTGAGAGCTCATCATTGGATCCTTAGGGCATTCAAGATCATCATTATTGAGATTAACCTGATCCATTATCAAATTCGTACTAAATTCTTCAGCAATTTAACACCGTTATACATACAATCATTTACTGGTGACACTTCAGAAGCAAATGTGCAAATGATTCTAGCGCTGTCACGAGCATACTTGCTTCGTCGACTTATCACAATGAAGTCTATCTGAAAGTAATTAGTCGACGATAAGTGCGCAAGCCATTCCCCTCTACGATTCCAAAAGCGTTTTATATCATAATATATATCATGATTAATGTCGACATCGGCGCTATAATCTACGGACAAAAGTAAAAATAGCTACCTACCCACGTCTTTATATGTCTGTATGATATATCGACTACAATTATAAATGTATGCACGTGATTGCCATTGATTTGCTGATTTTTGTTTTCAAGCCATTGGATAGATTATGTTTTCGTTATTGTCTGTAGTTGAATTGTAATTTGTATATGAATCATTTTCAATGTATGGCTAGGTAACATGTGCAACGTTCAATCAAACGTTATGCTACCCTAACTGATGAAAATGATGATGTTACATTTATGACAGTAATTGTGATTGTTGACACCGTTATATTTAGGTATATATTTCAAGTGTTCAAGAGTTTAATGGATAATGTTTACGCTTTCACTTAAGATTATAGTATATTAAGAAAAGCCGTTAACACTGTTAAATTATACAATATACATCCAAGAAAGGTAAATACAGTGTTAGAATAAAGGACATAATAATACATCGTGTAGCATAGCTCTCAAGGAATGTAGCCTCTAAATAAATGCTATGCTACACGATGGAGGGCTAAAATACAAGCTACAATAGCGCACCGTCTTTCGGATGAGACGCTTAAGCCGTTGGTCCCGTGTGCATTTATGGCCTATGTGCACGTTAAAGAACGCAGCACACTCTTTGGAAAAGAGTAGAGGATTATCTCCCGGTGTACTGTCCAATCACCACCAGAAGGACCCCACTGGAAATAAGTCTTCTTCTAGACTTTCGTGGGCTATCCTTGGTGTTTACACCGAATAAATCTAATCCAATCCAATGCAGGGTCTATAAACAAAAGTTTACATGGTCTTATCACTAGCAAATTATGCATAAATCAATAGCTGGTCAGTGTGACTAAACAAAGGAATGGTAAACAAGGAAATACTGTAGGCCTATAAAAAAACAAAAAGGAAAATAGAAACAAAATAAAATGTACAGAAGCCGGTGATACAAGAAATGGAGTAACAATAATAATAATAATAATAATAATGATAATAAAGGGGCAAGTAGACGCATAACTTATCAAAAATGGCATGAAGAAATATAAGATAATATAAAATATGATAATGAAATATGAATATACATATATAATTTACAGTATTATATTTGTATGAAACGCCAAAAGGACAAACCATAAGTGGCGCAGTTCAAAACTAAAGTGGCACAGTTCAAAAAGTCGAGTGGCGCAGTGCAAAACTAAAGTAGCGCAATGCAAAACAACTAAAGTGGCGCAGTGCAAAGCTAAAGTGGTGCAGTGCAAATGCAAATGCGTGTGCCGCCACTTGACTTTTGCACTGTGCCACTTGACGTTTGCACTGCACTTGACTTTTGCACTTCGCCACTTGTGGTTGTCCTTTTGGCGATATCACGCCAAAAGGATAAACAACAATCACAGTGTAAAACTGTCTTGTCTTGGCCTTTCTTGGCCTTATCTTGGCCTTTCACTTTTTACATTTTAAAACTTTTCTGGGGCTCCAGACTTTTGTCTTGGTGATTTTGTTGCTTTTGGGGGCCCCAAGACACGTGTCTGAATAAATAAATGAAATGAAATAAAAACTAAAGTGGCGCAGTGCAAACTCCAATGCGTGCGCCGCCACTTGACTTTTGTACTGTGCCACTTGACTTCTGCACTGCGCCACTTGACTTTAGCACTGCGCCACTTGACTTTTGGCGATATTGTATGGAACGCCAATTTTGGCATCAAAATGAAACTAAACAACAAAATAAATGAATTAAAAAAAATCAAGAACACATAATTCAATTTTTCTTAATTTCACGACAACAAAACAAAAAAAATTGGGTCTAAAACACAAATTGGAACGTTATATGATTGTCGTAGATACAGTAGCCTAGGCTTGTCTATTCATCGTTATTACCGCTATAAAGGCGTAGCACAGTTGTCAGCCATGGCTATTAGAGACAAATTAGAAGCTTTGGTAGTGAGGGGTTATACGAATAAACAAATTGCTGAAGAAATAGAGGTGAGTGTAAGCACCATAAAAAAAATAGTTTGCTAGGCTAGTCAGGGTAGAGTACTCATAGTTATGCTAGGGTCAGTGACAAAGGGTCGACGCAACCGACGGGCCCAGTTAGGAAGATCGATTCAATAACATATATTTACATAGGCCTACATTAAATAAAAGAAAGAAAAAGTCATGTTCTTGGGCTACACTATATAATGTTGCGAATGTGTATGTAATTATTGTCTCATAGTTTATCCAGGGAGTTGTTATTTATCTTTGTCTAAATACAATTTGATTGAGGGGTGGCACCAGGATTTGCCCGACGGGGGCCGAGGTCTCCTTTCGGGGATATGTCCCTGACGAGAACAAAGAAATAATAATAATAATATAGGCCTAGTAAAAATTAGTTAATTTCCATTTTGATGCTAAATTGGCGTTCCATACAATATCGCCAAAAGTCATTGGCACAGTACAAAAATTAAGTGGCGCAGCAGTGCAAAACTAAAGTGGCGCAGGGCAAAACTAAAGTTTCGCACAGTGTAAACTCAAACTGCGTGTGCCACCATTATAGTTTTGCACTGCACCACCTGACTTTTGCACTGTGCCACTTGACTTTTGCACTACGACTGACTTTTGCACTGCGACTGACTTTTGCACTGCGCCATTTTTAATTTGTCCTTTTGGCGTTCCATACTTTTGGCGTTCCATTCTACCGTCCGTTAAACGCAATCACGATAGCATCGTGACTTCACTACCTGACAAGTACCGTAACTGTTAATGTGTGGAAAATCCCTGATAGATCATTCTGGGCATGCGCATTGACATGCATGGGCAGTTTTGAAGCATGCAGCCTGTGATAATGATGGTGGTGGTCAATGTATTACTCTTTCCCTACTTAACTTATTTCAAAAATGCATTGAACTTGAGCAATTTCCTCAAGAATGGAACAGAGGTATTATTGTACAAATATTTAAAAAGGGTGATAGTAAAGATCTAAACCTGCATGTCGTTTGAAAGAAAATAAAACAACTCACATTGCCTTTTTAGATTTTCGGAAGGCCTTTGACAGTGTTTGGAGAGACGGATTATTAAAATCTGTTTGGTTGTCAGGCATTAGGTAACTTGGAGACTGATAGACAGGTTATATAATGAAGTAATAGGCACTGTAAAATTTGGTGAAATTGAAACTGATCCCTTCAAAATTAACCAAGGAGTTAAACAAGGGTGTGTACTATCACCCGTTTTATTTAACATTTAATGAGTTTAAGAATTTGCTTGTTTCTCATGATATTGGTATAAGGATTAATGATGAATGGTTAGGTGGTTTATTTTGGGCGGACGATATTGTGTTGCTTGCTAATAACGAAACTGAAATGAAAAAGATGCTTGAGCTAGCTACTATCTTTGCAAAAGAGTGGAAACTTAATTTTAATTTTGACAAATCAAATATATTAGTAATTGGTAAACGTATAAACAGGGATAAACACTGGAAACTAGGAGATAGCTACATAATGGAGGCCGAATCATATAAATATCTTGAGGTAATTATTTCCAGAAATTTAAACGATCATCATGGCCGGCGGAACCGGGGCCGGGGGCCGGCCCCCCCCCCCCACTTTTTTTTTTTGCAAAAAATATATGCCTGGAGATTTTTGTATGACCCGAAAGAAATGCAAGAAAAGAAAGAGGGAAGAAGGATGGGAAAGAAAGAGAATGTTTATCCAGTCCCCGACCGAGTTACATTTTCTCGCACTTCACATTGGCGGATCTGGGGGAGGGGTCATGGGTCCTGAGCGCTCCCTTGGACAACAAATAAAAAGGGGGAAAAAAAAGAATTCTAGACCTACCATTTCAGGACCCGTGAGCTGATTTTTTTTATTTATTTTTTTTATTTTACAATAAGAAAATTAGAATTTTGAAGAACATAAAAGTCATTAAAACACATTTCAAATGTCGGGAAAGCTCATTTATGTATACATACATAAAAAAAATTCCCGCCATCTACGAATCAAAATGACCCTTTCTATTTGGGATTTACCCATTCATGGAAAAAAGAATACGCATGCAACTACTCATTTATTTATGTACGGTATGTATACACACATAAAATAAAAAATGAGAAAAATTTACCTGATCGTTTTCAAGAGGGGAAAACCTTGAATTTTGAAGAACTTAAAAGACATTTCAGAAGTCAGATAAGCTCATTTCCCGCATTCTAGAAATCGAAATTTTCCCGGGGGAACCAGGACTCCCTTCTTCTTTGGTGTTCATTGATTCATTGAATCATTTTAAAGAGGGGGAAAACCTTGAATTTTAAAGAAATTAGAAGTAATTAAAAGACACCTCAGAAGTCGGGAAAGCTCATTTCCCGCCTTCTAGGAATCAAAATTTTCCCGGGGGTGAACCCCCTTTCTTTTTTCGATTTATGGATTCATGGAAAAAATCGTATGCAACTACTCATATTTTTTTAATAATATGTATACACACATAAGGCCTACCGTATTTACTGTACTAACAATGGCAAAAATTACCTGACCGTTTTCAAGAGGGGAAAACCTTTAATTTTGAAGAACTTAAAAGTAATTAAGACACCTCAGAAGTCGAAAAAGCTCATATCCCGCCATCTATGAATCATAATTTTACCCGGACCCCCCTCCCCCTTTCTTTGGAGCTTATCAATTCATTAAAAAAAAGAATACGTATGCAACTACTCATTTTTTTTATGTATGTATTATACACATATAACAGGCCTACTGTAATGAGAATGAGAAAGTTTACCTGAATTTTGAAGAACAAAGTCATTAGACACCTAGCTCAAAAGTCGAGAAAGATCATTTCCCTCCATCTAGAAATCAAAATTTTCCCGGAGGAAGAGCCCCGGATCCCCTTTCCTTTTTGGGAAAAATGTTGACCCCATCCCTAACCTAAGTTTGATTCCAGATCTGCATGATTCATATTCCCATTCATCTTATAAGTGGCCCCCCCCCCCACTTTGAAAAACGTTCCGCCGGCCCTGAATCATAAGCAATTTGA